GAATTACCTTTACACCAAAATCAGAGTATAATATTATAAGAAAGGAAACTGCAGAAAAAATATTTTATGAAAATAAACTTCAAATTTGGCAACAAAATCAAATTATACATAAGAATGTATGAAGATAATTAGACACTATTAGCAAGTGGGCTTAGCCTTACATTAGCAAGGTTAGCTCAATACTTGAAGATTTGTTATTATAATCTTTCACTTTCAACCTAAAGCAGAAAAATTATATGGTTACATAAACAAAACATCTCTTGAGAAAACTAAACTCCTACTCATGGTCAAATCCATAAACTAGGAGTAGAGGGGAAAGTCATTCAACGTGATAAAAAAAATCATAAGAGAAAACTCCATCCAGAATCATTTTAAGAGTGATAAACTACGTGATTTCTCCCTAAAATAATCATTGTCTATATAGGAAACTCCAAGAAATCTAACAAAAAAGGAAGAATTCAGAAAAGAGAGGGAAGAGATGAAAGAAAAGGTTCCTTGAACAAACTAGCATTTCAAATGTACAGAATAGACTGTCAATATACAGAAATCCACTCTTTTCATATATATTTTCAATGAAAAACTGGAATTTTTAAAAGTGCAATACCACTTCTAAGAGCAGTAAAAAAAAACAAATTACATGTATAAATGTATACATATATATATAATGTGTACAGAAGAAATTGAAAATACCAATAAAAGAAACCAAAAAACATAAGAACATGTAAATAAATATGTTTATAAATTTAAAATTCCAATATTGTAAATGATACCAATTCTTCCCAATTTTATCTACCTATTCAATGCTATTCCAAGAAAGCCAGCTAAGATCCCAGCTGTTTTGATTATCAACAAATAAACTAGTATTTCAAATATACAGAATAGAATGTCAACATACAGCAATTCACTACTTTCCTGTATATTTTGCCAATAATCAATTGGAGTTTCTTTAAAAGTGTGGTTCATTTGTATGGATTATAACTAAGCATTAAACATGAGTGACACATATAAATGTAATTCACACACTTTTTTATTCTAAAATATAAATGAACATTGAAATGACCAAGGCAACACTAAAGAATAAAGTCAGACAACTCACACAGCTCTATATCAAAACATAGTCTAAAGTTAATGAGCAACACAATACATAGTTGGTAGAGCAACAAGCACAGTACAATGGAGTAAATATTAAAGATAGTACTTCCCAAAGTCTCAACTAACTGATTTTGTCAAATGCACAAAAGCAATTTGATAAAGTACACTCTTTCCCCCAAATATTGCTGGAGTAAATATCCATGTGAACAAACATTTATCTATGTGGAGAACATATAGGTAGCACATAAACTCACAAAACGATGTCCAAAATCATTAAGTATCAAGTAAATACAAATAAATTGAAACCACAATAATTTATCACAGCACAATTATCAGAGTGGGTAAAATAAAAGAGTAACATCATCAAATGCTGAAAACATGTAGAGCAATTGTATCACTCATATGTTTCTAGTGGGAATATATAAAGTCATGTATTAGCTCTGAAAAACAGTTGGCTGGCTGCTTATAGATCTTAACACGCTATTTTCTAGGGCCTACAACTGTACATCTGGACATTTATTCCAGAGAAATGAAAACACATTATCTCCTCAAATCTTTATGTGTCCTCAATGGCTTTCTATTGCTGTGGTAAAAATGACTAAAAACACTTAAAGGAAGAAATGCTTTATTTCAGCTTACAGGTTACAAACCATCATCTAGGAAACCAGTGCAGAAGCTCAAAGCAGGAACCTAGTGGCAGAAACTGAAACAGAGACGATGGAGGAGTGTTTGTTATTGTCTTACCCTATCTTACTCACCTTCAGTTTTAATATAGCCCAAACCAATCTGCTTAGTGATAGCCAGCCCACATCAATATGCAATCCAGAAAATCTTCTATGGGAAGTGATGGGCCTTTATTGTATCTAAGTTTTATAGATTTCAGAACCTTAGCTATAATATTGCATTCTAGGTTTGCACTGTGTTACTGCTGGAAGAAATTAGTAGACAATACAAAGAACCTCCCTGCATTGGTTATTTTCTCCCACTTCATTTTTGAGAAAGCACCCTATGATGATCTTTCTGAGTAGCCTTGAACTCTTGATTTTCCACCTGCTACTTCCTGAGTGCTGGGATTACATCATATGATATAATGTCTGATTGCAGCATTTATTCCTTTTTTAAGAATTTATTTATTTTATGTATATAAGTATTTGGCCTGCATGTGCATGCCTGATGCCCCAGGATATCGGAAGAAGGCATCAGGTCCCCTGAAGCTAGAGTTATAGATGGTGTGAACCACTGTGCGGAAGCTGGGACTTAAACTCTGGTCCTCTGAAAGAGTAACAAGTGCTCTTAACCTCTGAGCGATCTCTCCAGCTCCTCAACATTGAGTCTTAAAACTGAAAGTTCATCTACAATTAATCAAAATAAAAATGCTTAATTAAAATTAAATGTTTATTGAATATAATACTAGGCCATTGGCGGTTTCCTCTTCCACAATCATCTCATTGAAGTTGTGGGAGCAGATGTCTAATTGGGAGAGACTGAAAAATAGTGAGAAGTAAGAAAAATGTTGAATAAATTATTCTATCCAGCTATTGTAGGTCATTTTCCTACGAAATGTAACATTCCCTCCAAAGAGTAAATTGAAACATTTACTCTAGGGATAGGAGGATCATGGACCTTTGGAGGTACACAAAAGTTCCCACGCCTGATATGTGACCCCCCCAAAAGGGTCGCAACCCACAGATTGAGAACCCCTTCTTTGTATCATACCCTTATGTCTTTACAAAGTCACTCTCCCTTTGTTCTTTGTCATCTCATCTTTTTCATCCGTGTTATCCCTTCCTCTTTAACTGATATCATCCCTTATTCTTTTTCTCTAACCCTTTACTTCATATCATCTTCTTTATTATCTTACCATTTCATTTTATCATACATCATCCTCTTATTATTCCACGTTGCCTCCTCTTTTTACCCTATCACTCTTCCCCATATGCATCTCCTCCTCTTTATTCCCCATCACTCCCCCTTATCTCATGTCATACTCTCCTTTTAACTACCTAGTGTCCTTTCTTCTTATCCCTTGTCGTCACCTCTACTTTATTTTCCATCACCACTCCTCCTTACCCCATATCATCCACTCCCTATCTACCATCAACTCTCCCCTTTATCCCATGCCAACACCTACTTTTTATTCACACTCTTCTCCCTCTTTTTCTCACATCATACCCTCATATTTACTCTGTACCACTTTTCCCTCTTATCGTCTGTCATCTTTTCCTGTTTATTCTCCATGATCTTTCCCCTTTATTTCATTTTATCTTCTCTTCTTTATTCTTCATTATCCTTCCTCCTTAACTTGTGCCATCTCCTCTTCTTTATTTCATTATTCTACCCCATTATCCTATGTCATCCCTTCCCCTTTATTCTACATCATTTCCCTTTTGCTTGTGCCGTTCCTTCCTCTTTATCCACAATCATTCCTCCCCCTTATCCTATGTCCCCTCCCCTTATAATATATCACCCTCTCCTCTTTATTCCCCATCATCTTTGTCTTATGCCATCACCACCTCTTCCTTATTCCTTATCACCCCCTTGCCCCATATCATCTCATCTTATTTTCCATCACACCTCCTTCTTACCTTGTATCATTCTGTCTTCTTTATCTACCATTATTCCTCCCCTTTATCCCATGCTGTTTCCCTTTATTCTCCCATCAACCTTACCCTTTAACCTATATCATTCCCTACTCTTCATAAACTATTATTGATTCCATTTATCTCATGCCGTCTTCTGTTTGTTATTCCTCATAATCAATCCCATGTCATCCTCTCTTCTTTATTCTCCATTTCTCCTCCCTCTTAACCCATATCAAGTCATTTTCTTTATCCATCATCTTATCCCTTAATGCCATGTCACATATTCTTTATTCTCCATTACCCTCCCACCTTATCCTATACAAGTCCCTTCTCTTCATACACTATAATCTATTCCCTTTATCCCATATTGTACCTTCCTTATGTCCCATCACCCCCCTTAACTCATTTCATCCCTTCCTCTTTATCCACCACCTTTTCCTTTTATTTCATGCCATAGCTTCTTTATCTACAATCTTCCTTTCCCCTTATCCTGGCATCCCCTCCCTTATATTACCCATCTTTCTTCCATTTTATTTCCCATAGGCATTCCCTTTTATGTCCCCCTTCCTTATTACTGATCACTCCCTTATCTCATGTCACCCTATCTTATTTTCTCTCATCTTTCCTCTTTACCCCATATCATGCCCTCTTCTTTATCCACTATTATCTACCCCATTTACCCCATCCCATTTCTCCTATTTACCTACCATCCTCTTTTCCCTTTATGCCATTCCGTCCTCTATTTTTTATCCACAATTACCCCTTCCATTTATACCATGTCATTCCCTCCTCTTTATTCCCCATCATCCTTCACTATTATGCCATGTCATCCCCACATTTTTATTCCTTGTCACCCTCTTTATGCGGTGTTACCTCCCCCCTCTTTATTGTCCACCACTTCTCTGAGTCTTTATCCCATATCATCCCCTCTTCTTTATTCACCATCATCTCTCCCCTTTATTTTGTGCCATTTCCTCTTGATTCCCCATCACCTTCTCCCTTACTGCATATCATTCCCTCCTCTTCAACCCCATCTCTCCCTTTATTTTGTGTCATACTTTCTTTATCCCCATCATTCTCTTTATCCCATATCATCCTCTCTTCTTTATTATCCATCACCCCTTCTTATTTCATATCACCCACTCCTTCTTTTTATTCCCTATCCCCTCTCCCTTTTATATTATGCCATCTCCTCTTTTTCATTTCCAATCAGCCCCTCTCCTTTATTTCTCTTCTGTATCTTATTAACCTCTTTAGATCGCCACTCAGAGCTCCCAACTTGCCCCCAAAATTCTAAGTGAAAAAAATCACGCTGTACACCATGAGTATGCTGCTGTCACAATACAGATGTTTATTAATGATGAAATGCCAGAGAAGTTTTAACAATCACAAATCTTCGAGCTCTGTGGTTGTTACCCATTGTATGATCAGTTTCTATCCCTCAATACAATACATTCTTCATTCTAAGGACCTTAGCAGTTGTTACCCATAAATATCAGTTGTAATTTGGATGTCATACATAACCCATATCTGTGTTTTACCAGAGCAAGTCCCGCAAATCTGTACCGTCCTGCATAGAGGAAGTACAGAGACGATAGGTAAGAGAGTTTGTAATCAGGTGACGTTAACTACTTGGAACTATGTGTCTGTGCCTAACTAGTTGTTTTACTGACAAGGGGCATGAACGCCCGCTGTCTTTAAAATTGGTCCAGGACTAAAATCTAATTTTTTCCTCTAACTTTTGACCCCAGAAAAGCTAGTTAGGCTTACACTTGAGGTTTCCCTGTTGGCGTGTCCTGAGCAAAACTGCACAGAATTTTGGGAGTGGCTGTTTGACGAGCCATTGGTCTAAATAATTTGAGGGGGAGAAAGAAAATCCTGAGGCGGTGGAGTTGCTGCGGGGACACGGCTATGAGTTGGTGTGACACAGTTTAGCATTAATTGTTTGTCAGCAGTCTGTAGGCTGACCTAACGCTCTAACATGCCTCTTGAGGGCCTTCCCAGTGAGCTCTCGGGAGGAGGGTAGGAAAGTCAGGAAAAACATGCAATCCCCTTGGGGAGGGAGGGAAAGCACCTCGAGATTTGTGAGCTTCTCTGGGACAGATGTTTACCACAAATGAAACATCAATTAAAGGAAGGGGCTGTAGTGAGAGGAAGCCTGGATCAGGGGTAAAAGAGAAGGCAAGGTAGCACCAGGGTGCCTGGGCATGACACAGAAACATCTCTGCTTTTACCAGCTGAAGATACCAAGCATCCCCAGTAATGGGGCTGGCAGTGTATTTGGAATTCCCATCCTGACCCGAGCATCAGGTGGAACTCCTGCTTACCCTCAGGTCTTTGTCTTCAAGACTCCTGAATGTTTGCTGTGACATTCCAGGTCTACCCCCACCCTTTTCCCCTGTCCGGCACCTTATGGGAGGGGGGGAAACATCTAAGGAGAGAAGCCGATGCCAGATTTGCCATCCTTCTTCTTGGGCTCACGGAACAATGGGCGGTCTTTCTCCACTTTGGGGGTTGTAACCGCTCCTTCCTCACCATCGTGGGAACTGGCAGTGCCAGTAGGAGCAGTCGACTCCTCAGTGGCACCTGGAAAATAGTAACAATATTAACTTCCTATGTTTCTAGACTTCATACTTTGCACACAACCCAAGGCACTAAGACCTAGTTTTGAGTTTCAAATACAATAAGGGTTAGAGGCAGAGCAAGGAAAATCGCCCCCATGTAGCACGTAAGGAAACTTCGGCCTAATAGACGACCAAAGAGTTTTGAATCTTGGAGCATTACCTGGGATTTCATCAGCATCTGAGTCAGCATCTTCGTTGTTTGGAACCACATCAAGATAGGGAACCTCTGCAAGATCCAGATGGTCCTGGTCTTCAAAATCTGATCCATATTCAAAGTCATAGTTCAGGTTCTCTCCAAAGTTCGAGATTTCATGCACATCTGGAGCTCCTTCAGGGTCTGGAACCACATTAAAACAAGGCAATTCTTCAAAGTTTAGGGTATCAGTGAGTTCTGGGATTTTGTCATCAAGTTCTAAAGTATACTCAAGGGAAGGTAGACCATCAAAATATAGAATGTCACCATCATCCTCACCAGCACCCTCCTCACCCTCACCATCATCTTCTTCATCAAGCTCTCATATGCCCTCAAGATGTGGGCCACAAATATCAAGGTAATGTGGGATTTCAAGACCTTGAACTTTCCCCCAAACTACTCCCTCACTGAAATATTAAAATACTAACTCTTCATTTACAGACATTATTTTCAGAGGATTAACCTCCCTTTCTCAAGGGGCTTATCTTCAACAAGGACCTATTTCTCTGGAAGGGCCTAGCCTTCTGCAAGGGACTGACCTTCAGTAAGGGCCTGACCTTTAGCAGAGATTGGATCTCTAATAGGAAACTGACCTTCATCAAAGGGCTGGCTCTGAGCAAGGAGAGCAGCCTGGGCTTCAGTAGAGTTTTCCACTGGATCCGAAAGTAGAGCATCCTCTTCCATCTTTATGCGAGCACTCCTAAATGGGAAGACATTTGAAAAAAGTTAGTATGTTTTCCCCAAAGTTGATTAATATCAAGATGGCATGAAACAGTTAAGTCCTATAGAGTAAATATAAACAAGTCATAAAGTTAAAACTACACTCACTGGATCTTCCTCAGATTCCGGCGTCTGATAAAATCCAGGGCTTCAGGGCTGAATTTCCATACACGCTTAGCAACCTGCTTCTGAATATGGGGGGGCACCTGGAGGTAAAAGTTGTAACCTTAATTGCATATCTCTTTTCATTTTTACTCATCTTTGTTGAGTATTTGGTTGAGACACTGTGACCAGCAAACATGGGAGAAATTTCTAGAATAGGAGACTTTGTTATCCACAATGAACTCTCTCTTATCTTGTAAACAGAAGAGGAATGTGTGGAATGAGTATACTCAAAAATCATACTTACCTGGAAGAGGATATCCCAGTTATCAATCATGGCACGGACCACATTGACAGATGCAACATAGTGATCAATCCCCAGCTTTGTCTTCCTGGATTCCCTACTGGCCACCTTCCCCTTCTTCAGGAGAGAAGTCCCAAACACCAAGGCCAAGTTGGTGGAAGTCATTCGGTTACCTGGAACCTAGGTAAAGAAGTGTGATAAACCTTGAGGTAGTGCTAGAAGCTGTACAAATAGATAAGTATCATTTTTATTGTTGGTTTTCTCTCTTTACCCACTTTACAACCAACTTAATTTCACTACCCATTCCCACGAATTTTTACCAGCTGTCCATCAACACCAATGGAGTCTTCGCAGTACTCAGTGATTTTATGCAGTGCCTTCAGCAGACGTTCAAGGGTATCACTGTGGCAGGGTGGCATCAGGTAGACCAGAAGCTGCAAGGCAGAAACCTGATCCTGGGGCTTCAGAGCTAGAGGAAGGAAAATAGGGCTGGTTCAGTGGGCTAGTCTTTGCAGCAGCCTGATATCAAAAATTCCAAGCAACAGATTTGTCAGGGAACAGCAAGAGACACAGAAAGCAACCTGGAGAAAGTTTTATTGATTTTTATTTTCATTAACAAATAATGACTGAGTATTCTAGAAGGATATGTTTCATATTCTGATGTTCATTATACCCTAGATTCATGAGGGTCCTATAGCCTGAGCTCTCTCATAAGATGTGTGTATTGCTTCTTTAACTTGCACCAGCAATGGAGGACAGAAGACTCACTTGCAGTCAGGAGGAAGGACATGTACAAATCATCAGGCACCACAGAGTCCTTCATTTCACGGAAAAACACCCTGAGGAGTGCGGCCACATCATGTACATTCACGCTGTCATCCAGCACAATATCCAGACCTTTGTCAAATAATTCACGGAGCTAAAAGAGGAGAAAGAAGATGTTAAATGTCTGCATTGCCCACCATATGCCTTGTCTTGGGCAGCTCTTCAAGAAGTGACGAGCTTTAGTCAAGATAGCTGGCAATGTAGTGTATCCAGGGGTCTATGAAGAACATCTTACTCCCCCATCAATCGTGACACTACCCTATGTCTGTGAGAGAGCCCTTATTTCTTTCTTCCTTTTCTTACCTAAAGAACAAACATGTTTACCTCAAGCACTTTGCGCAAAGAGTACTCAGCGGTGAAAATCCCCACGGAGTTTAAGCCTGAAAGAAAAGATCAGAGATCCTAAGCATCTATGGCCCCTGTTTCCCAATTATGTTTCCCTTTTTCTACATTACCAGCTGAATTCCAACTTCCAGTGGTATCGGGTGAATGCTATTCAAGCCCTCAATCCTATAGCTTCTCTCTCTCCCTTTCTAGAACATTATTCTGTTTCCCTTTGCTTGCTGCCTTCCCTGATTTAACCATTTTTTTTTTGCTTTCTTACCATGCTTCTCAATGAATTTGCAGCAAGTCTCAACAATCTGAGGGACTTGTTGAGCAATTGGATTGAGGCTCATCTTCCTTTTGGATCCCAGAAGTCGCTGCCCGATAGGAAGTGAAGCCTGTGAGAGCTGCAGGATCTGCAGCAGCAGGGTCCCATTCTCCAGTTCAGCCAGGCTGTCCACAGACACTGCACCCTGTGGGAAAATCCAGACTATCTTGAAATGGAGAAGGAGCATCCATTGGGACCTGCCTAAGTGCTGAGTAGCAAACCCACCCCTTCTATTTCTATTCAGTCCCCACACAATAAGAATGCAAGCCTTGACTCCTCTCCACAAAGGGCCCCTGCCTGAAACCTCTGAGACTGAACTCACTCGACGACCACGGCGAGTGAACTCTCTGGGCAGGGTGGGCTCATTCCTACTGCGACTGAAAAAGCGCCTCATGCGTCCAAACATCCTTTGCACCACGTTTCCCCGACGATGACCTGTGGCATCTTCATCCTGCATAGCAGCTTCCAGTTCAAGGTGCTTGCGGCGGGTAAGCTCATTCACCAGCACCTCTTCCAGGGGGATGCCAAAGGTCTTGAGTGATGCAGCTGGGAAAGGATGGTAAACGTCAAAGCCCCATAGCACTTGTATTGGGGGGGGCGGCTACATGGGCTTGCAGCATCACTCTTCCAAGCAATCATCAATAATCAATCCTGCCCCACCCCAGGCCCACAGCGCCCCTCTGTGGAAATTGGAACCCTGCAATGGTTAGGTGAAAATGACTCAATGTCACTCAACTACCCCGACATGGCTTAAGATTTCATCCCTGCCTATGTCTTGCCAGTGCTTGGCCACCTTGAAGCAATGAGGGAGATTTCTTCTCAGGTTGATCTGTCTGGGGTATGTGCACAGGGAAGCTAAGACAAGTCTGAGAGGACCAACTCAAGAGCCAGCAGCTATGCCATTTCCTGATATTACCCTCTAGGGGGTTTCTGGGAGGGAAAGAGAAGAATCTTCATGGGCAATAGGCATCAGCAGGAATCCAGTATCCGGGGGCACAAGACCAGAGGGTATTTTGCCTTTTATTTATTTCCTAAGGTAAAGAAAAAAAGCCCCCTCACCCCTCTCCTGTCCTCTCAGGATCAGAAACCACTTCTCCAGGGTGTTTGGACGGTCAACGGGTAGAGCTATGAAAAGGAAAAAAAAACATATGCATTCACATTCATATAGGAAGTGCTAAGTAACTAAAACATGGCAGTGAATTGATCTGCAGTGTGGGGACGGGAGATGGGAGGCTGACCAGCCCAAGAAAAGTGTTTTTCACCCAGCCTCAGTTTCCCCTCCTGGCCATAGATAGGACTTGTCCTACCTAGCACATTCAAGATTCCAAGAATTTAACGTAACCAGTTTAATATGCCAGATGCATCTTGCTATGAACCAGTAATTTCTCAGTACAACACTTAAAACATGAATTCAAAAGCTCAGAGGCGCTCTGATCATGCAACAGGCGAGGGGAGGGGCTCTGCCTGCAGCGCCACCACGGGTGAGGGTCGCCAAGTTACTGTGGACGCGCTCACGCGCGGATTTGCCGTCGCTCCGTTTGCTGCGGTGGGAGAATTGGCGACACCTGGCTGCTTCCCCGCTCCAAATCCCCGCAGTGGTGACTGCCAGGGGGGTCTCCTAGCCTTTTGCTTCATCCAGTTCAGACTGCGCCAGAGGTGCGCGCCTGGGGAACCTGGCTTCCACCCCTGCACTTCCCAGTCTTACTGGAGCGCCCCTCGAGTGTCGCAAACATCTCCCACCTCCCCTATATCCTGCAGCTAAATCTGTGCGCATACCCCTGAGATCTCCGGGAGCGCTGGAACCCGGTCTTGCCCCTGGTCCCCTGGCTTCTCCACAACTAACAGAGCTGGGTTGCGCTCCGAGCGCACCGCCAACCCCCAACCCCGCACCGCCCTCCGGTTCTTTGCCCGGGTTGGCGCGTGTCTCTCTGCCTCTTTCCCACCATCTCTATCTCTCTCCACCGTGAAGTCTCTAACCAACCCGATCCTCTTTTAGAGTGTTCCTTTGAGCCTCGGTCCCTCTTTGCCCAATTCTCCCACTACACCTGGTGAACCCAGTTTCTTCACCTGCCCTCGGTTCTACCGGGCTTACCATCCCCTCAAAACCCCAGGCTTCGACTCTACTCAACTAATCTTTTACCTCTTCTGAAATCCAACAAACAGTACTCAACTCCAGCTTCCTCCGTTCCCGGGGCACCAGGTCCGGTTCTGAGACCAGGGATGACCCCCTCTCACCCTCCAGGACCTCTAATCTACCCCATCCCACCCGGGGGGGTCTACTCGCCCGAAGGCGAGGACTCCACTCTCCGGGTATAGCTCACCTCTGTCCGGCTTGAATTCAGAGAGGAAATGTCTGGCCACGAGTTCGTGGTAAGCAGTCTCCTGCAGCTTCAGGCGCTCCAGCTCGGAGAGGCTGTGTATGGATACCATGTCCATCCTGCGGTCCGGGTTCTGTCCTGGGGCTCCTCCCAGGACGCTCACTAAAAAAATGAAGGCAGGCAACAACAGCAAAAGAAGCATGATTCTGGGACACTGTGTCCTTGCTGCCTTGAGAAAAGCATTGCAGCCACCCATTCTGGAGTCGGATGATCATCAAGGCTGCATCATCCAATTGTCACTGGACCTAGTGAAGAGAACTATGGGGGGGGGAGGTAGAGAGGGAGGGAAAACTGGGAGGCGGCTTCACCCTCAAGCAGGGCTGTCTCTACTTGATTATTCAGGGGGAGAAGAAGAAAAAAAACAACTTGGGAAAAAAAACCAGCTCTGAACAGACAGACAGTCCAGAAAAGAGAAAAAAAAACTAACAAAAAATAGGGAAAACAGGTTTTTGCTTAAAAAATCAGCGACCTTATATTTTAAGCACTTTGATACAACAATAAGACATAATATTTTCTATTAATTAATTTGAGCACCGGTAGTTTTTTTTTTTTAATAATGATGCCCTTAGCTGTCTGGGCTAGGTAAATAAGGAGGCGTCTATCCAATCTAGAAGCACTGTAAATTTAAATAACTCTTTCAGAAGGCAAACTGGACACATGGATCTGAAGCCAAAATTTGTCCCTAGGTCTTTTGACCTAGTACTTCCCCTTCTAGGAATCTTTTCTAATGAAATCTTGCTACAGACAGGAAACATCATATACAAATGAGCCATCCAATAAAATACCTAGCCCCAAAATGAGATTAGTTATATAGATTATGTAATAAATAGTAAGGGAAATGATGCAACTATACATTGATACCTGCAAAGAGATTTTCAACAACAAATACAAAATACAGAAATTATGATCGCCTCTATGTGAAGAAAAACATACTCAAAGCACTGAAACAAACACACTTAAGTTCTAACAAATACTCTTTAGTGGTAGAATTTTGTTTGCTTTTACTTTTTCTCATTTATTAAGCTTGATTATGTTGCATTTTTTGGGGGGGAGTCAACTTTTATGAAAACAAGCTCATCTCTAGACCATTTCTAGTGAGACTCTGAACAGGATTAGTGATCACAGTGAAGTTTGTCTTAATGTAGTGGCAATGGTGTTTTACATGGCCTTTCTCCATGTCCCTATCTGATACTGTGCTCAGGCTACACATCCCTCAGAGGAGACCTCCCTGGACCCCACATAGCATCTTTTATCACATCCTCTGTTACTCATTTGTTCTTTCAGCCACATATCAAAAGAAGAAAATCTGTATTAATTGCCCACTTTAATACTGCTTTTTTCATAAAAGATTTAATAGAATGCAGTGAAAGACATACACAGGTTAGCAACAGTTTATAAAACCTTTTTGCTACAGCAGCTGGCAAACGTATAAACAAAGTACTGTGAGTACAGAAAGGAGAAAATATCTAAGTCTGCCTGGAGACAGGCTCAGGGAGAGGAAGGGGGAGAAGACAGAGATACAGAGACAGAGACAGAGACAGAGACAGAGACAGAGGCAGAGACAGAGACAGAGGCAGAGGCAGAGGCAGAGGCAGAGACAGAGACAGGCAGATACAGAGATAGAGACAGAGACAGAGGCAGGCAGATACAGAGATAGAGACAGAGACAGAGGCAGATACAGAGATAGAGACAGAGACAGAGACAGAGACAGAGAGATAACAGCTTGTACAAAGGCAATGAGATGGAAAAAAGATTGGCATCTACTTAAAGCAATATACAGAAGCTGGAAGAAGATAAATCATGGAAGACCCTATAATTCCATGTTTAAAAGGTGGACATTTTTTCTACAGGCAATAGGGCACTACTATAGGATTTTAGGAAGGAAGTGGCAGAGTCATAGATGCATCTTTGAAAAATCAAAAAGAGACATGAAAACTTTAGTTTGAGTACAAGAACAATGAATTGGTTACATATATCAGAGATCCTGAATGGAAATGACAAGATTTAGGGGAAAATTAATTCTAATGGAAAGGAAAAGTTTAGGATAGCTTCCAAGCTCATGATTTGTATGGATATGTTTATGGCTAGTTTCTGACTGAGAAAATAATTGGGGACATGGGGAACTAAGCCTTTTGACAAAAGGAAGCAACCTTATACCATTTTTCTAAGTTTTCCTCTCATATGAAGGTTTGCAAATATGTTCTATATATTATTGGGGGGCTTAAAATTCAAAGATCAGATAACATGGCTGTTTACACAGAGAAGTCAGAAAATATTTCTCATACAGTAGTCTAATTAAATGAACTATGATGTCTAGAAAGAAAATATACTTCTTCTTGAGTTTTATCAACAAAATTCTCTTTTACCCACTTGCCTTATTGACAAGTCACAGATACCAGAAATGACTGCCAGATAACTGAGGTACAGCATATAAAAAGAATGAAGGCTGTTTCTGTGGCTTTTAGATGAAGCCAAGATGAAAGCCTATAGATTCTGAAGCTCTTTCAACTGCAAAGCACATACCCTGAACCCAAGGTGAACACCAAAGCTCGACCACCAAATAACAACCAAAATTTAAACCAAAGGCATATGCATTTAAGTGCAATTCCAGACTGACCTTCTAGCAAACCCTACCAATAATAGCAAGTCTAAACAAGTCTAAAATCTATCAAATGAGGGTCTCATCTTGACACACAGTCTAGCTTTGGCTTCCAATTTCTAACATCCCAGTCCCCCTCCCCTTATCCAGTCCAAACATCTTAGTACCTCTCTTGTAGTTTCAGCTATTTCTTCTTGAGGCTTACCAGAGCTGTTCACCCAAAGAGCAGAGCAGATTCTTTCCCCAAAAACACAGGATGAAAATAAATCCCTCCCCTACTCAAAAAAAAAGGTGAGAACAAACAGTGAAACCTCAAATCATCATCAGCCAGAATAGGAGAGGGGGAGGGAGGGAGGGAGGGAGGAAGGGAGGAGAGAGAGAGAGAGAGAGAGAGAGAGAGAGAGAGAGAGAGAGAGAGAGAGAGAGAGAGAGAGAAGCCTTGGAGAGATGACTCAGCCTAGATGCTTACAATTCCAAAGGAAATCAAAGGTCTTACAATAAACCGTTTGTCATTGCCTCCCTGCTTGAACATACAGGGCTGTACTTAATAGTCATGGGCTGCAGTACTGCCAACAAAATTGACTCCATTTTGTATACCTTCAACCCTCTCAGATTACCAGTAGGCCCCAAGACTGTAGCAGAGCTAGGAAGACCAAAATGCCCCCAAAAGAAGCAAATGGGAAACTCGGGGAGGGGATAAACAGGCTTTAGCACTAAGGGACAGGCAGAAAACAAGTTCTTTAGGTTTAACCAGTCTACTTGTTCTCAATCCTGACTTGACAAGCTGAACACAAAAGAAAGCTCACCACAGGGAACAAAGTGCCTAGAGATGTCTCCTGCTTCAGTGCCTTCTCCTCCCAGCTTCAGCATGCCATTTTGTGGCATTGAAATGACTATGAGATTAAAAAGATACCCAAGGAGGAAAGTGAAAGCAGAGAATCCAAGATATTTGCAAAAGTAATTTGTTTACCCTAACACCTGTAGTTGGCAATAAAGCTAGAGCCAAAACCATCATTTCTTAGCTGTATAAACATAGGAAAACATATTGAATCCTGAGCCTTGGTGACCTGCTCTGTAAAATGGGGAAATGACATAGCTTCCATCTCCATAGTTACATCTTAAATGAATATTGTGTGTGTAATAAGTAGCACTAGTTTTTTAAATAAACATGTGTTATCAAATATTCCTTGCCGAGAGCCCAAATCAGGCTGCAAAAATGATTATATAGAATAGGAACTTGTATTGATGCATTGATTAATCTACTCTGCTCAATTTCGAATAAGTTTGAATTCAATTAGCACAGATAAAGAGATCTGGGGATCTATTAGGAAAAGCTCTGTTTTCTTCACTCTACAACCACAACCATTTTTAATCATCTTACAAGAGTCAGAAAAACTAACTGCATAATTAAGTATTACAAATGCTGTCGTTCACATTAGTAAAATGCAACTGTTTCCCCAAATGTATTTTTCTTTCAAACCATCTAGTTTTACCATGTTCCCAACTAAAGATCATATCACATCATTTGGACCAGTAAAAGAGTTCAGCAATTAGCAGGTACCAAGCAGGAGAACCTGCACAAAGGACAGAGAGACAAATCAAGTATTGAGCAGTGCAAAGGGGTAGGGGGACCACCTTTGGGTGACATCAAGATTGTTCTCCATGTCCTGCTGAAGTGCATGGCACAGATGGGGAAACAAACTAACATTGGAAATGTCAACGACTTCAACAAGGAGAGGACATAAATGATCTCTGCTTACCACAAATCCATAACCTTCAAAATTTGGGGACCTAATTTACTCCATTGCTCCCATCAAATAGTTAGGATTGGTCCAGCTCTCACTAGTAAACATGGATAATGGAACAAAAACAGGGACCACACTGACACTGTGGTCTGAATCTCTATTAATTAGACAGCTTGTTACATCATTAGAATTTTGCTCCAAGCCACTGAAAGCTCCTTGGAGTTTGAGAAATTGATAGTACATGGGACTGGGTGCTCAGAAGGTATCACATCTACATTATTCAAATGTGTACAGGCAGTGACAATGGGTAAAGACATCCCCACTAATATATCACAACCTGGGAAAGAGATACAGAGCTCTAGCTGAACACATCTGGGCGCCGATTTGGTCTGCTGACACATTACCTCATTCATCTGGAGCATTAATGAGTTAGCCTTTAAGTTGTTATCCCATAACCTCCATTTCAGCAAAGGCTGCAGATGCAGTGAACAGAATGACTCATTTTAGCCTATGCGGTGGTGAAGCCCCAAGATAATTAAATCTGGGGACAGCGTTCTTCAGTCCATGCAGTCAGCCCATCATGCCACAACAGAGGCTCATAAACTGGAGATAGTATTGTTAAAATATCTCAAAAAAACTCTAGGTTTAAAAATCTGCTTAAGGATAGTGTACAATGAGGACTGGAGTGAAACTTGGCTGTAACTAGTCCAAAATCTCTTTTCTGAATTTCAGAAAACTGAGACTCAGAGACTGGACATGAACCCATTTCTCATTCTCAGGGCATTTTTTACTACCCCATTCACCAATCCTCAGAGCTGCAAGACTTTTGCATTGCTAGATAATTAACTCTCAATAATGCATCCATAATCAAAGACTACTTCTATAAAACCAGAGGAAATCATATAGAAGGCAGACAGCCACCAGAAATGACAGCATCTGTGTCCAATAAGTACATTCATCATTCCATAGAATGTGGGATGCCCTTTTTAAATTTT